CATCTTTTTCTTTCTTGTGAATTGATCCGTCCAACCAGGCTACTTTATAAAGTCTCTTTTTACAACATTGATAAAACTTCTTTCTAAAATTGTGCATTCTTCTATTAGATTGTCGATATCTTTATTTTCGTTAAACCATTCAGCTTTGTATAATTGAAATTGCGAATCTTCTCAACGATAAGTTAGATTCCATCTTTGAGTACACTTTCTACATATATGAAAAAGGTTGTTTTTTAAAATTTTTGGAAGGAAATAAATGAAAGAATAAAATAATAAAATAAATTCATTTCTAAAAATATGATTTCTTCGACTAAGAATGCATTTATCTGTTTCTTATCTTCAGCGACGCGGACGCATCCACCATTCCATTGAATAGAAATGCGGCGGAAATGGTGATAGAAACGATAACTTCGGTTCTTGATAAGCAATAGAAATAGCATGCTTATAGAAGGAAAAACTTGACCCAGTAAAAGTCTAATAAAAAAGGACTGGACTTAATGTAGTGACCGTATCCTAAAGTTTTTGCATCAATAAATCCTTTTGTAGTGTAGGAAAGGCGAACGTGTAAATTTTAGTATTTATTTCACTCATGGTTAATAAAAATTTCTTTTCCACCCTCGAAATCTTGATAACTTTCATTATTAATTTAATTACAGATAATTTATTATGCATTTTGATAAATATTTTGACTTATCAATATCTAAAGGAAAAGGAAGAGCGATGAAGAAAAAGTTTTTATATCGCTGTCTTTCTAATAATAATAATTATTATTATTTTCACAAAATTTTTTGGATATTAATCATCCAAATATATGATAATATTTCTCCGATTATTTCCATGCACCAAAGAAATCATCTTTATTATCGTCCGACCAAGATCCTCGATTTTCGTCGTCAAATTGCTCTTCGCCATAGTCGAAGTCATAATCGTCAAAATCATTCTCTTCATCAGAAAAAATATTAGTTATCCAGCTGGGATCTTCTTTTAAAACCGGTGCATTGATATATGGAATCGCTAATTTTGCTTTAGATAAAGCGTCCATTGATATTTTGGAAGCGAGTGGGATATCCAATTCTTTTAAGACTCCTTTGGTGTTTTTAGCAAAAGCTTCAAGAACCGAATCCCAGATTAATGTAGATCTTGGAAGCGAAATCTTTATAAAACTTGTTTTAGTTATATTGAAAAAAGTCTCCAAATTCTCTGAGGAGAATGCGAAGGGACCAGCGAGGCACAAGCTATCCATGATTACTGGCGGAAGACAATTCGCCAATTTTAAAAGAAAATTATCACTACCAAAGAGAGCATCTTCCTCAATTTCATTCCCAAATTGTACGGTGAAACGCCTTAGTTCAATCCAAGAGTTCAATCGATTAATATCCATAGCCACCTGTTCTAATATTCTAGGATCAAAATCCCAATCTCCTCTATTAGGGTAGATCATAATCTTCAATTCACTAATAAGATTTGGACAAAATCTATTATCGATTGCCTCGAGAATTTCATTGGCATTCTGATTGCAAATTGTCAGACTATAGAGTTGGGACAAAGAATTTGAAGCAGCTGGCAAATCAAAAAATTTCATCCAATTAATTTCCAAATATTGAAAATCATTATCGTCGTGTTGACATTGTTTATATTGATCGATATTCAGACGAATTATTCTTGTATTATTTCTATTTATAATCAACTCCAAAATCATCTTGGAATTCCAATAATCATTGGTGATACTCAACAATATTGGATAATTAATTTCTCGAATGTAATCGAAATAAGGGAAGAGAGGCTTCTTGTCGTCTAAACCCATCAATTTAATTGAATAAAGAATATTTCCATTTGTTGTTTCGCGAAAAGGGTTACACCATAAATATTTGATAGCAATCTTACACCAATGTCGATTCAATTTAACACAAGAGAACAAGGATGCTAAGTCGTCTCGAAGATTTTCGAAAATTTCTTCAAGGCATAAAATAGGAAGAGTTGACGCCATTAATTGTGATATTCAAAGAAAATCGTTTAATTTAACGATAAATAAGTCACTCTTCGATTTTTTTGATCTTTTGTGTTTTGTTTGTGTGTTACACCATAACAATACGTAAAAAGAAACAACGTTACAATACATGTGTCGGTACAGTATGAGCTTAGTGATGTGATTGCTTTGTTGATCGTGTACATGTATCAACTTAATGATTAATACACGATAAGGAATTACTCTTCTACAAGGAAAAACATATTCGTTCGACTTGAAACTTGAGGGTCTCACGCATCACTAGGATTTTATTTGTTTTAAAGTTTAATCATCATTCACATTTAAACTTTCAATTAAATTTGAAATAAGCACTATTATTATACAGTCAAAGTTCTTTATAACGACTGAATTGCTTGGCGCTTTTTTTGTCCGGCATACTTACACTTTAATTGTTGATCTATATAAAAAATTTCAATTACATAAAATAATTTAATGCTCTTCATTCATTATAATCTTTATAAGATCTGCCATATAAAAATAGAATTTGATGAATATTTTTGGGTATTATCCAAAAATATTTGAATTTCAAATAAATAAATGTATTATATATAGCGATAGCGCACATTTATTTTATTAATATTTATACCGAAAATGATGTGCGCTTACCACACATTTATTCGCACAATTATAAAACACGAAAGATCCCAACAAACATGCAAATCAATAAAAAACGACCTGATATATTAATTATCCTTATGGGCAATAGTCTTTAAGCAACCTCGTATCTCTTGGGCTTATTCTAAAAAAATAGATTCAGAAGATCTATTTTGGGCTTAATCAACAAGACGTCAAAGTTCTAATTTCTTGTCTAAAAAGAAAGTAGTAGACGAAAATGAATTATTCCCTTTGGAAGGCAAATCCCCAAAAAAGAGAGAAGGATATAGAGGACTTTTGATTTTATTAGAAAATATGATAATTATGTAAAATACGGGTTGTGTTACTTGCACAAATAGGTCGAATGTAATAGAAACGGAGTAAATGGTATTAGAACCATTTACTCCGTTTCTATTACACTCGACCCAAATAAAGTATACGCCTTCTAGAGTACGTTCTGGTAAGAAAGTCTTTGGACAGTTTTGTGTAATAAAAATTTCATCATATTCATAATTATATAAAATAGCTTGTTAGAAAGCTGAAAAGCCAGAGATTTAATATATATTTTAATTACCAGATTCTAAAAAAGTTATACACATTTTTTAATTTAGTTACAGCAAAATTGTCCAAAGACTTTCTTACACACTGTATTTGTATTAAATTGAGATCATTGTTGGGGATTCTTTGATCTGAAACCTTATTCTTGTTTACAACTGATATTAAAAAAAAACAATGTTAAAAAAAACCTCTAAATTCCTTTTCTTGCTGACATGTTTATTCCCTGTCGTATCAGCAAGATTACCACTTGTTGAGATGTTTAATTTCGGGATCAAGGAATACATTCCTTACATAGTTGTCACCACAATTCTTCTAATCGTGTTGATTCCGATCCATAAATTTAAAAAAATCAGGATGATAATCAATGTAGCCTTGGAAATATTCATATTATACATTTTTCTACCTCTATTCTTTTATGCGACAGAAGGTTTCAGCACGTTAACAAAAACTTTGATGATTTTAAGTTGTGTAATGCTAATTACGCACTTATCGTTATCGTTATTGCTCATATACAAAAGAAAGGTGTTAAACTTAATATATGTAATAATAATACTGGGAATACATATATTATTATTTATAACATTGGTTTATCCACCTGTATTCTTATATGCGACGGAAAGTTTTAACAAATGGACAATAATTTTTTTAACTTTATATTATTTTCAGCTTTTTATAATGATAGCGTTATTTTTCAGAATTAAGTTTAAAGAAAATTTCATTGATAGTGCTGCCGGTAAAGTCATGGCGGTAATATGTTTCTTAATTTTATTATCACTTTTTATTTATAGTGTGGTGGTTTTCTTCAAGTTTGGCTTAGTCAAAATTTATTTTCCATTTTTAATTGTTAATTTGATAGTATCTTGTTGTATTAATTGTGTCAAGGGTACAATAGTTGGAGTTATAGTGGGTTATATTTTAGCTGGATTAGATTTCTATATATATTTTTATGCGATGCTAAATGAAGTCAACACAATTTCACTTTTACTTTTCTGGGCAGATTTATGGATTACATTATTTGCTATTTATACTACCATTGAAAGAATTATTGAAGGA